TGGTCATGTTAACCGGAGAGAGTGAGATTAATAATCTTCCTAGAATGATTTCTTTCTTCTTGAATTGTTGCGCTGATATCCATGCATCTGCGGACTTGACCTCACCCACTGAAGGCTGCCAACCCACCTCTGTGCCCAATGTCTCCATTCCTCATGTCTGTACTGTCCTGGTACCGTTTAAGTTCATGACAAGTATTTATACGGTACCGGTATCAATTCTGTAAACTGTAAATGTTGCTATTTAATTTTCATTATTAAAGTCTGGTTTATTTGAATAAAATATATATATAATTTCGTTATAAATTAGTTGTGAATTGCTTAACTTTGATCAGCGTTGCATATTTTTGAGGTTTTCTCACTGTGGTGCTCTCACTTTGTCCTGATCATAGCTGACCTTGTGACCATCGGTAACACGCTAGCATCACAAACTCCTATTAGCATGATACATTGCTTGTCATGACAAGTCCCATTACTCTCAATGGAGCAATCTTTTCTCATCAAATCTTAATTGCTGACTGCTACACACTAACAGCAGACACAGTTTCCATGGTGACAACAGGGGAAATTTGAACTAAGGAACCCAGTTACTACTTTTTACCAGCGTGGCCTCCCTCATGCCAGATAGGCTCTCAAGTAATGGTTTTTGTAAACAAAATACACACGTCCCAAATGCTTGTTTTAGGGGAAAAATTCCTGACTATGCTACCTCTTATTGTGAATGGATTGGTCAGTTAGTGTTAATGGCTGATTGTCCCACAACTAGACCTCCCAATTAAAATCATTCTGCTCCCATTGACTAGCACCATCTCGACTCTATGAGACCTTATGAGACGGCTCATTAATAGTTGCGGTCTGTGGCTTCAACAGCATTTAAAAAAAATAATAAATTAACCATTTCTGGCACCATTAAGGACTTTTCTAAAGCAAAATGACACGGCTTAGTGTTTGTCTCCTGAGTATCAGGAGGAAAAAATACAATCAATTTACATACTCTGTCACTGATCAACCACTGAGTAACCTAATAACCGCCCACATAGTCTGGATATAATTTTGCTTGTACCTGCCTGGATTTTGTGAGAGCATGCTGTCATATTTATTAGTCAGCTTAAACTGTAGGTGGGTATTTGCTGTTAAAGCACTGACATATTTTGTTTTGAGATCCATCTTTCAGATCACATTTTGAAGTTTGAATGCCCCCGGTGAGACCAACTTCTAGCCGAGATGAGAGAAATAGCCAATGAAGGCAATGTCACATGTTGCTCACAGAATGAAGTTTACTTCAGCTATGCTCAGCGACAGGTCATAGCTTCGGTCTGCATATTTATTTCGTTTCTCGGAACAACTGGTAACTTGATGGTGGTGGCTGCTGTGGTATTATCTAAAAAACTTCGTCATGGGCCAAACATGTTTGTGTTTAATCTGAGCATAGCCGACCTGGTGACCTGCGTGTATGTCATTCCTATGGGAGCAGTGGCCGGACTGAATAAAGACCATTGGCCATTACCCATGGCCATCTGCAAACTTGCAGCTTTTTTATTTGTAGTTTGTCTTGGTTGCAGCATTAACAACCTTGTGTGTATCGCAATCAACAGGTATATCATGGTTCTCTGCAACAGGTCAACATATTTAAAGTTGTACAGTTGCCGACGGACTCTCATTGCCGTTATGCTAACGTGGATTCTGCCAGTATGCACATTGATTATTACAGTGTCGATTGGCTTTGTAAAATTGGGCTTTAATGCCAAGTACTCTGCCTGTATTTGGATCTCTGAGGACTCTTCTAATTTTGCATTAATTCTTGCTGCTACTTTCATCCCGCTCCAGTTCTCTGTTATACTGTTCAGCTACATCCGGATCTTTTGCCATGTTTTCACCCACACCAAGAAAATCCGAGCTTTGGACAATCGCATCCGGGTGGCTGTTGTCATGAATGTTCCAAACCAGCAGCAGGCTCGGCAACGGCAGCTGAGACGCCACAGCCCGCTCCAGCTGCAAGTCACCAAGAACCTCTTCTGCGTGGTGTGCATCTTTGTGCTGTGTATCCTGCCGATTTCCCTGGCGTTAGTCATGCGCTCTTGTGAAAGACTTGTCCCTTTTGCAGTGACCTGCTTGGCTGTCAACAGCTGCGCCAACCCCATCATATATGCAGCTAAACACCCCCATTTCAGGAAAGTTTTCCGCAGCATGCTTTGCGGCAAATTTGCTCAGATACCAGAGAGAATTTCCTGCAAACTTTTCAACTGATTCGTCTCCCTCTGTTTGGAGCTCCATTGTAAAGACTAAGACACTTGAAAATCTGTACATGTAAATATACATGTCCGCAGCTGAAGTTTCTTCTTTTGTTGTTCTAAATCTGAACGTCTGCTTTGTTGCCCTCATATTTCTTCTTTTTAAAAAAATTTACTCAAAATTACTCAAAATTATCTTTGACGAAAAATCCACTGTATCTGTTTGATTTTTGCTGAGATCATTGGTTAAAAGAGACAGTACAAATTCAAATGATTAAAATTATGACAAAGACCTTACCAATATGGACCCAATTTAATTCTTTTTGCTGCCAAGTCCCCAACTTAGAAAAATATTTCAATTTCACTTTGGAAAAAAATTGACTTGATATAAATGTACTATTACTTTGTACCATGTATATAAGTTACACAATGAGATAAAAAAGCCTGCTCTTTTCTTTGTGACAAGTAATAATAATAACAATAATGGATATTTATAACGTGCCAATTTCTGCCTCAAGAGATGCTCATGGTGCAGTATAATCAGGAAACCAAAACATAAACTGATAAGAAATTCAATAGCAGTTAACAAAGAAGTGAGCTTTCAAGGCAACTTCGAGCTCAGAGATTGAAGGGATAGAGTGAATATTAAAAGGTACTTCATTCCAAAGAAGTGCCTATAAACAAAGCCAAGGCGATGCCCTAACTACAGTGGTGTCTCA